GCATCTGTATGGATTAAAAAATATAACTCAGTACTCACTACAGTGAGTGACAGAGAGCGCATTTTCTCGTCCGTCCGTGACGTGAAGTCACGGACGGACATTGCGAGCACAATAGTGCCTTTTTTCCATAAATGAGAAAATGCGCTAAAAATATCACATATTTTAAGAATCATCATATTGATTATGCATATAACCGTCACGGATCAGCTAGCCTCTGAAGTACCGGGGCCATACTTTCAAAACTCGCTAAGTGAACGTAAGTACTTACGTTCTATTTTCTTGTCTATGATTGGTGGATTTTGCTTGAAAGGCCGTCAATATTACGTCAATGCCATCGCTCCATAACTCCAATAAAGAAAATGCGGGAAGAAAAAACGTTGTCCACCAAATTTTTGCTTGTGTATTATAGTAAACGTGCGCTAAGCATCTTCGAAACGACATATTAACTCGTATTTGGTATGAAAATTGTCACCACTGTGACTTCTTTTCACAGTTTGAATTTGTTCTCGTTTGAATTCATATCATAAAAATCTCTCCTTGCAAATTGTTTGATTAGAGATTGATTGTTTAAAGATGTCGATGAGATTGGTTATTAATCATTCTAATTGATTGATTGCTAATCAATGTAAGCAATCAGCCAAGCCATATAAGATTGATTGTTTAAATACGTCCATGCCTTGCAAAAGAGTGTGTAACGATTCTTTTATAGAATAAATGAGGTTATAGATCTGAATTCTTTAGAGAATTTGATCATAAATGAGCAATATTTGAAAATCTTAGTCCTACTTTTGAATCATTTTTCATGATATTTTATCGACGTCCGTGTAAAAAAAAGATTGTTCTTGACTAACCATGAAGACAGGAATATACGATACACTCGTTAACGGATAAAATATTTACAAATGGAGTGGATGTATAACTGGCTAACGGATATACGAAATTGTAAGTTATCTTGTCAAGAATATCAAGAATATTTATTTTGTCAAACAATATCAACTTTTCATTACTTAGAATCTGGATCTATGATCTTTCAATTTAAAACTGTGTGAATAATCGTTGACAGAGGCTCCCATGTCTTGCGTTCATAGGTTATTAATATATAATCGTAAGACCGCCTCACCGCTGCTGCTTGTGCACCTCTGCCGAAACGCACCTATCGCCTTTCTTGAGTCCTGGACACTCAATTGTTTATTTTCTATCTTTATCTTCATACTCAATTGTTTATATTCTATCATTATCTTCATTCTAGCAATGGCTTTGTAGACTTTAGCTCAAACTTAACATGAAATGTTTCAAAATTGGCTCTATAGTTACAGTGGTTTTCACTTCTTTTGCTTTGATACTTAATGATCGTTTACGAATTAGTATTGTCTTTGTTTGTATGTCAGTCTTACTTTAGTCGTGCCTATTACTAAATTGTTGGATTTCGGCTTACACATAAATTGTATTATTATTGAATATCTGTTGTATCCCGAGACCCACTGTACTTACAGCATTAGTGTTCTGCTATATCTAGCCATTGCCTTGACCGTATTACCTTAACAATCTCTTGGGGACTCTATAAGCAGTTGCACATGTTATTCCTGTAGAATTAGACTTTCCCATTATTTATGTATTTAATTTATTTTATCAGTGTCCAGGCTCAAATATATTCAGTATATGACCTTCGATATTAAGGATTTGTTATAACGCTGCATAAGAAAAATAAATTGTGCAATAAAGTTCAAAGCTATTGTAAATTTTTGTACCCAGTTGTAATTGTACACCAGAAAAAGAACAGGAATATCAATTATAAGAAAAAATGTTTAATTTGGATTTAGGGGAGCATAAAAAGAATATTTTCCATAGGCTGGAAAGAAACCATCATAAACTATGAAATGAGTATTATATACATACTCGGATCAGCAAGAATGGATAAAGATACAGTCATAGGCCAACAGAGAGTCAGAGGTTGAATTTTTAATGATAATATCATGTTAAATCTTACAACTTGGAAAGCCTTCACGTCCCTATTGCAATGATGGCGACCAAACTAAACCCTTTGGCTTCATGCTGGTAAAATTCCGTGTTAATGACACCTCGGCTCACTTATTAAAAACAACCGAAAAATCTGGTGCCAATTTTACCCGCGTAGTCACTACCATTAAAGTTTCCATGCACAAGATGATTGCTAATGTGTGTTTTCTGTGTAGTTATGATACTAGATACAGTTAATGGATGTGGAGTTTTAACGCTGTGACGTCAGAAATATTTAAATAACGGGAATTTGTTGGGGATTTTTTTTAATTGAGTTGGGAGAATAATGCTTAATNGAACATTTTTGAAGAATAGCAAAAAATTGGCGTCATATAGGACAAAGTTCTTCTGAAATCTGAGTCCAAATGTGATAGATGAGCAACGGATGTTTTTGATATATGTGCTGACCATCGAAGCATATAAAATTACGAAGAAATACGAAGAGACAAATATCAATGTAGCTTGAACTCGATGTAGCTTAAACTCGAAAGCAGCGCTTGAAAAGCGCTGCTTTCGACCGCAGTGTTCGGTAGTTACGCATCTGACACGAATTTTTCTTATACTCGATGCAGTAATCTCAATTCTGTAATGATATAGTATTTTTGATCCCGATTCCGAGACCTATAGGTAGCGAGACTGAACATTATATGAGGAGTGCGTTTTTTGCCATGAGTCCATCGAAAAATGCAATTTTTATTAAGTTACCGACTATATTTTTCCAGGATTCTGGGAACAAACGTGATAGATGAGCGGCCAATGTCAATATTTGAGCAAGCTTGTGATGCTATGAGAAATTGAAATGAATAGAAGGAAATCTACAAGGAATATGATTGAAAGGAGGACGATACACGTAACTAACTCTCTGCTGAAACAATTTTAAAAACTATCCAGAAATATATGTCGGAATGGATTTTCTTTATTCCTATATTTTTCAACTATATAGTCAATGTGGAGTGAGTGAAATGTAATTATAAAAAAAGACGAATATGAACCAATCGACGGAGTTCAATAGCCAATCTAACCAAATAATACGTATTGCGGTGCGTGAAAAATACAATGATGTAGAAAAAATTTATTCTATTTAAAAATAACGAACAATTATAAACAAATCACCATTATTAATCAGAAAAAAAAACAATAGATAAAGCTTTGCTTCAGTGCGAGTACGGTCGGTAGATTCAGTGAAGCCAAAAATGTATGAATGATGTTAAACAATATCATGTATTCCTATAGTTCCTATTTTTATTATCATGATTTTAGATGTTTTTTTATTATAATTTTTGCAGAAACATACGATCTTTGTGCTCTCTAGCATATTTGATAAATTTTGATCTTTCTCTGACAAAGAGTAAAAATTATCACTCTGTCGGTTCAGTGTTCAGACTAGAGAAGTAGAGACTGCCGAAGCCGAGCGACGGTCAGTGTATTGCAGGATTTGTGTATAATTACAGGTTTACAGTAATGGCGTTTTCAATTTCAAATACGATTAAAAGAGGAATAGTTTCTAATATTAGAAGTTTCAGCGCTTCTGCTGAAGCAGGTTCCCATTCAGGTGAGTAAAAATTATATATTTGTAACCAAATCTCTGCATCATAGTCATACTATGACTATCGATTTAGAGGTCCTACCTATGGAATCTTTCAGATTAGTGTGATACAATATCGTCTGTCCTATGTACTGATGTCCATTATAAGTAACTGATGTGTGATGACTGCCAGACTGAGTAATATTAAAAAAAACTTGGTACCAAAACTCATCAAAAGGACTTAAATATTTATTTAAAAATTGGTGCCTCATTTTTAAATAGGGTGTTGCTAAATTTTTCCTGCGAAATATGGTCAGAAATCTTGCACAAGCCGCATTCAAAATCAAATGAACCAACACCTGAACAGTGAATGCCAATTACTTTGAAGTTACTTATCTTGGCTTTCAATTTTACAAAATTGGAATTTTCCTAACTTTTTCAGGAATTTTGGGTCACAAAAATGACACTTATGACAGAATTTCATACATTTGGAAATTGGTATTTGGTGGTACTGGTAAGTGGTAAGATCTTGCATTTTTAATTTGCATATAAATTATAGATTTTAGATGGGTATATTGGGTACCAGGGTTCATTCATCTTGCAGGAATCTCACAGCCAGGATGGAATTCTAATTTCAAAGGTTCATACTATTCATTTATTATTTTGATCCACCAAGACCAATTTTTCTACCCAACAATTCCAACATCATTATTTGAGGCAAAAAATGAACTTCTTAAAGGCTCAAAACACGTATGCTAACTTGCTCAGTTTCTATAAAGTACCTAGGTAGGGTAAACGCGGTATATTCCGACATCGTAGGTAATTCCGTCACCTCTCCAGCTTTTCCTTTATATTAAGCTTTGTTTTAGTTCCATGCGAACCATCCCGCAGCTACACACCATCTACACCGACGGTTGCTTTGATAAGCTGGAAGGCGATCTCCTCGAGAACGTCACCATTTTGGGGGGCATTGCCATAGGCATTGGATTTGTTCAGGTATTTATTTGTAATCTAATCCCGCGTAAATCATAGTGTTTGTTGTTGTTCTAGCAATAAATGAATCATTATTATTTCATTGAATCAATATTATACCAATAAATGAACCATTATTATACCATTTCATTGAACATTAAACCTACCATTATTATACCATTGAACATTATACATACCTCTGAGCTGCCAATGAAGATTTTGGCTTTGGCCCAAGATATCTATCTATAGTTTTTTTATATATTTATCATTTATTTCTAAATGTACAACTAAAAGTTACATTGACAAGTTTCAATTGCCCATTTCTCACTGTAGCTGTTTGCAAAAAGCCCATGCAAACTTCGATAACTTGACATGATTTTCCAAATCCGATGACTTAAGGGCACGCTTAATGTGTTCAACATCAAAATTGCAATAAATTACGAACATTTAAAACATGTTCCTGATTTTAACGATTTCGTGTTTCCAGCTCGTGGGCGTGGCTTTTGCATGTTGTCTTGGTCGCTCCTTGAAGCGGCAGTACGAAACCGTTTAAAGTCTACGGCAGCACGATGCCACTCTTCGCTCCACTTCTCTGCATCAATCAACTGTTGTGCGCCTGCCTATGGGTCTATAATGTGCCCATGGATTTTTCCAACTCTACTTACTGGCTTACCTTATTGAATAAATTCTTCTACTTCAATTAATAAATAAAAGGACGAATGATATGTATAAACCATCGAAAAACATTTTCGTTAGCGTAACTCACTCTTTACGAATCTGGGCAATTAAGTTATTCGCGTTCTACGTATACCTTCGTATAGGTAATCCAGAAAGTTATTTTAAGTTAGCAAGAGAAGATAATTCTCTATTGATGTGTTATCAGTGTTAAAGATTTATTCTTCATAAAAAAAATAAAACGTCCATTCCATTATATTTTCAAGAGGTGTTTAAATTATATGACAATCTTTTAAATTTCTAACAGTCAAATTCATCTGATCTTAACTTCAATTGGCACTGTTTCTGTTGATTTCGATCTTACTCAATCCTGGCATGGAATCCATGTAAATAACTTTTATGAAAAAAAAAAAAACAAATCAACAACGAGCATGTATTTCTGTTGATTTTAGGTGTCAAGTTTTAGTAGGAGAACTCCGTTTTTAGTTCAACTCGTAAACGTTTATTTTTGGTAATTCTATCCTCTTTCCTCGACTTTCCTATTCTGCTATTCATGACTATGTACCTCTTCTTATCAGGAATTTCTTATCGTAAAATGCTTGTTGCAATGCATATTAAACGAACGCGTATATAATATAAAAGATATGGAAGTTATTTATTATGAAGTGGAGTTAATCCTATCTCACGCATCGGCTTTAAAAGTTGCGTCAACTTAATCCAGCGTTAAGACTTTTTTGCTACCCGGCTTCCATCTTTGTATTGCAGTTTGTAGTGCAGTATTGCAGTGAATTATTGCAGTTTGTAGTGCAGGATTGTAGTGAATTATTACCGTTTGTATTGCAGGATTGTAGTTTGTAGTGCAGTATTGCAGTGAAGTATTGCAGTTTGTAGTGCAGAATTGCAGTTTGCGTTTAGGTATTGCAAAACTGCAGTATTGAAGTATTGCAATTTGTACTGCATGATTGCAGTTGCTGTTGCAGTATCACAGTTTGTATTGCAGTGCTGCGGTATTGAAGTATTGCAGTATTGAAGTATTGCAGTATTGAAGTATTGAAGTATTGCAGTGCTGCAGTATTGAAGTATTGCAGTGCTGCAGTATTGAAGTATTGCAGTGCTGCAGTATTAAAGTATTGCAGTTAGTTGTGCAGTATTGATATACGTAGTGGGAGTCACGCGACGCAGTAGCTGGGTATGCCGCGCGCAGCTGCAGTAATCTCGCCACTGTCATACATTGATTCATCCGCCCTCATTCATCCATTAATTCATTCATTCCTTCACTGGCGCACGCCTAGCCATTAAATTCATTCGGTAAAAGTCATTCTTTCGCTAGCACACGCCTAGAGTCGTTTATACACGATTTAAAGCATTGTTTTGCAGGTAGAATACATGAATATTTTTATTCAAATTATGCCATGTGTTCTCATCAATGACAATAGACTAGAGGGATCGTTTTCTATGCGGTCGTGAAAAACAGTTCAGTGAATCCAAATTATCACCAAAAGTTGAGCTTTTAATTTTTATTCCACGAAACTGTATTTTTGGGATTTGCTTTTTTAATATTTTTATTATGCTTTCAAGAAATTTTGTTTAAAAACCAACCTAGATATGATTTTTTATCCGTATAACCAGAAAAAAAGTGAGAACACATTAGTGGCGACTTGGAGGCAAAACTTTATAATTTTTCATTGAGCAGCTTATTGATACTTTTTTTGAAATGTCATGAAAAATCACTAGTTCTGTAAACTATTTTTTCAATGCATAATATAAATTTCTCATTTTGCATGCAATGCGGGCGATGGAAAAAAAATTTTTCAATGTGGCTGACGAAGATGGTCTGCTGCTGCGACGCTGGCATGGCGGTAGCGTTTTATACAGTTAGTTAAATTAACTAACTGTATAAATGAATTAAATTAACAAAGTAGCGTTTTATACAGAGTTTAGTTTAGCTGCTTACGTAACCACCAAACATTTCTTGTTTTCGCTTTGATGACTTCAACACGGAAACGTTCGAACCGCCAATTCTTTTTCTCTATTTCAAAAGCAATGAATAAAGGACTGTATTACCTGGCCGTAGAAGTGTTGTTATAGCTGTGCATCGTAGAATGTTCGCACCCTTGCCTTATTTAGACGATGTTAGAACATAAGTTACAAGGCTATTTCTATAAATGATTAGAACTGTTTGCTTTTGTTTGAGAAAACTGAGTTAGTGTAGAAAGTAAAGGTTTAAATTACAAATTATGAACATGGCTATACGTTGCTTGGTATAGGCATGGATTTTTAAATATTCCTGTATTTTACTGCGCGGAAGACGGGAGCGGTGTTTGCGAAAATTTATAATTGGAGTGTTATTATAATCTTTGTTTTGCTAAATTTGGGACGTATCAAATATTCGGCGATTTCTTGCTCCATTTAATTTACCACAGTGAGCCAAAAAACATCAGTTTGAAAATTCAGAGAAAAAGTTCGAGCTTTTTTAAATTCGTTCAAATATAACAGCATAATGAAGTAGGATACAAATGTGATCGTTTCATCGTACATGCGTAAAAAATTTACGTTAGAATTATGCGAAATCATTAAAATTTCATCGCTCACATGTTCGGCGAAGCAACTTCAAAAACTTCAAAAACTTTAAAAAAGCAAGGTGCATTTTTATGCTATGAACTTACATCGAACTATAGCTTCTTCCGACAGCTTCTCTTACTATTGAGCCAAACTTAAATATAATGCTTACGCTCTTTCCTAATATTATCTCATGGAAACACTTGTATCGTGTGCTTAGTTTGAATATATTTAGGTACAGTTCTATTTTTGTCGCTGTAGATGTTATAGAGAAATGCTTCGTCTGTTAACGCTGTCGCTTTTGTTTCGTAACTGGCAAGACTTGGGAAGCTGTTTTGAGGTCTCATGATACATTACTGGTTCCGAGGTTCACAGTTAATTTCTTTAAATATTTATACCCGTATTTTTTGGTTCCGAGGTTCATACATAGTCAATTTCTTTAAATATTTATACCCGTATTATATTTGTGCGTGTAGAGCCGAACTAGATGAGTAGTGAGAACTGAACTTCAAGCTCGACTTTATCGTTGTTATCGTATAAAATACAGCAAATATTGCTTGGGCAACTTATTTAGTTTGATTTTCATAGACAACTTTCTAATAACTCGAATTTTATTTGTCATGTAGAAATATCTATTCAATTATACACGAGCGTTGTCTCCTAAAATCTTGTTCATCGTTAATTAAAGCTTTGCCTAATCCATAGCAATTGCTTCTCGTATACACATATATTGTAAACTTGAATAGAGTCAGAATGGGCATTTCATATAAATCTTTCAACTTACTAAAGCATATATAGTTAATATTGTTTCAAGTCGCCGTTCTGATGGAAGTGTTACGAACTCAACGATCGCTATTTCCTGAGACTCTCTTGTGACTCAAAGAAATTTTTACAAAAAAATATTTTCGTGGTGCTGTAAGAGTTCGTTTGATATCTACACTCAGAAAAATAAAGAGACTTTGTCCAAATAGCGATACACTTACTTTGTGTGGGATACTTCCCTGTTCTGCCCAGCAAAAGAGTGAATTACGGCTACATGCAGAAAGTGTGTCCCTATTTCGACAACTTGATCTATTCATTATTCGGAGTGTAGACATCTATACAGCGTTTGCTCTGCAGTTACGAATGTGATCCTGAGTTTTTTACAAGCAACAGTCAGTAAATAGTTAACGTATGCACCAGTGAAGGAAGTGCATCTCAATTGGCATAGCTACTTATATTTTTATATGCATGTTACCTGTTGATCAATAGTCTAGTGGGAGCGCGTCGTCGGCAGGGAAAATGTGATTTGAATCAACTCATCGAAGCTAATCTTCCTTAATAACTGAGCCTGGTATGTAGTTACCTTTATTTTTCAATTAATTTATTATTCTCTTTTGCTGTTAGTCGGGAACAGATTTTTTTTATAAATTGAGATTCATAGTATTTTTCAATTAGTTTATTATTCTCTTTTGCTGTTACTCGGGAACAGATTTTTTTATAATTTGAGATTCATAGATATACCGGCTTGCATATTTGTTTAAGCTTCAAAAAAAATTGTGGTTAGATTTTTTTATGATCATGTGTCTAGTTAAAAAGTTCTAACAACTATGCGGAATTATGTAATTTTTTATATAATTACTTCAATTATTTTGTGTTAATTAACCATTTAGTGCCGGAAGTATTTTGTTCTATGTTCATATAAAATTTAACCAACCATCAAGGTGTAAGAATTTGTCTCGCATTTTCTTTTGAATAAAATTTTGTATAAGATTCATCAGCTCCTCTCGTTTTATTTTAAAGTTAGTTTTCATTTTCCTTTCTCGAATAATTATTTTCGTTACAATTTTATGTGTAAAAAGCTTGATATTTTTCCCGACGATACTCGAAAATTCGTTTTTTCTAACACTGTAAAAGATATTTTACTCCATGGGGTCATATTTTACATTAATCCAATAAACGCCCTATAAATTCTCTATATAAGAAAAAGTTTCTACTTAATACGTTAGAAAAATTCTTGCGGTTTGCGAAGTGATGTTTGCAATCTGGTGCCAAATCTTATCGTGTGGTGGTTCTCTATGGCAATGGTTCACGAATATTTGGTAAGTTACCCTCTTGTAGATAATATATCTATTTTCTGAGGTAATGGCCGTGTTAGTAACGTTATTGTATTGCAAAATAGGTCAGTGTGTGAAAATGTAACTTGTTTATTTTGATATCTTAATTGGTAAAAAATGCGTTTGTGAAAAGTTAACACGCTTATTTTGTCATTCAAATTGGTAAAAATTGATTAGCCAATCGCTGTCTTAAGAAGAGGAACGCCACCCCAGTAAAAAATAGGCTGCCGAAGAATGAAAAAAATATGCATATTTGTATGATCATCATTATTGTTCCGTTAGGTTAATTTGTAATAAGGAGCCTTAAATAATTACCTGGAAGGGTTCTTTAAGTTAGGATACGTTTGATTTTAATTTTGTTCGACTCTTTTCCCCGAGTACTGGAAGCAGTTATACTTTATGATAGCAAGAACTTTTTACGTAAAATCGAAACGCGACTTCTATTTTTACAAACATGATTGCATGATCGTCATATGTGAGTGGAGCTAAACTTAGTTTAAAATAAATTTTCACTTATGCCAGACAGCAATGAAAGGTTTCCTCAAACTATTATGAACTACTCCCATAGTTGAAATCATTATTGAACTGTAATTAAATATTCACGATTCTAACTGGTGAAGGAACTGAAATTGCGTCCAAATTATCTGTCGCTATTTGAGGTTGCGAAAATTCCACTTTTATAAAATACGATGAACAGTTTTTGCGTGAATGGATTGCACTAGTTAAATAAGCCATTTATGCATGCATTTCTCTGAAATTATTTCATTGTCGGTTAACTTCAAAATAAAATATTTGAAAGCGGGGTTGGGGGACATATCACCTCACCAGCACTCGGAAAAATAAAGGGCTCGCCTGTCCAAATAGTGACACTTTCTTACCCACAACTTACTTTCTAGTGTGTAGTTCTTTCAACTAGTGACACTTTCTTACTGAAACGCCCTTTTGCTCCGCCAAACTGTGTCAGGATGACACACATGAAGACAAAAAGTGCATCGATGTTTAGAAAGACACTTTTTAAATTCACCACTCATTTCTTTGAGTATGTCTGTGCGTCCGAGTGTATTTAGACATCGCTCTCAAATTTCGGCATTGTTGCATTTGTTAAGCCTGAGCTTTTGTTCGCTTGATATCATCTCTAAATAACCTATACGTAGTTACCATTAACTGCTTCGTGTAAATAAGCCTCGATATAAATTTGTTGGTAATGAAAGATAATCTAACACACGTCCCACCTGGCGAATGCCGTTGAAATAACGTGAAATTAACGTTCATTCAACGTCAGATGTTTGGTAAGATTTACTTTCGGCAGTGCCCTAGATACCAAACACTGTATGATTGAGT